AGTATGAGATATTCATTAACTAACTGGCCATTTTCTAAGTGGATGACTTAGGGGAACAGATGGATCTATCCCTTAATGGATTGACTATCTCTTTAACAGAATGCCAGATATCCCAGGAGAGAGAGGTGGAGGGAGAGAAGAACTGTTGTTGTCTTGCTTGTTGTTGTTCCTTGCCTGGAAGTCACAGGGCAAAATACACGTGAGTAATCTGCCTGAAAGGGAAAAGAATTTGGAGTGAGACTCATTGCAAAATGCGAACAAACTTAACTAGAAGACACAGCAACAGGCTATCAAAAGAGACAATTATCTCCCACATGAACTTGAGTCCTGTAGTGTGTGTATTCACCGTGACCTTGCCACTGTCACTTAGTACTGAATGATATGAGAAATAATTGAGTGCCATTTTTTTTTACATTTCACCAGAATAGACTTAGTTCCCACAAGGGGAATGATATATCCAGTCCCTGAGGCACCATAGATTAATTCATTGATTTTAAATATTTTATAAAATACACCCATCAAAAGGCTAGGAGCATATATCCATCAATTAAAAATTAAACGATCAAGGCAAAACAATACACAGACACACACACACACACACACACACGAACTCAATCATGCTATCCATTTCTATAAATAAGCCATCAACAGGAGACCAAGGGAAGACAAATAACTTACATCAGGCCTGCAAGTGAAATACATTTATCAGCCCACTTAATAAATGCTTTTTGACATTTAAGAGCCTGTTTCTATGTGGTCCTGTACCAAGAAAGATTTACGCATACATAATCTGTGCATTCTCAGAGCTTCTGGGCTAAGAAAGACAACTGAGCAGAGTCCGTTGAGGCATGCTATACCAATAGGAAGTGATTTTTTAAACATAAAAAGTGACTATGGGTGTCTTTTAAGGGTTTTCTTATATCACACTCTGAAATAGGCAGGTAGATGAATAAGAAGGCTCCCATCAGATAAGTATGCGGGGATTCACAGATATCACTGAGGGGAGTACAAATTGTTTCCAACTTCCTGGGGCAATTTGGCAATGGGTATGTAAAGCCTTGAAAATCTTCACTCCTTTTGGTCCAAGGATTTGTTTTTTAAAAAATAGTCACGGAGAGGGGCGCCTGGGTGGCTCAGTCTTTAAGAGTCTGCCTTTGGCTCAGGTCGTGATCCCGGGATCCTGGGATCGAGCCCCACATCGGGCTCCCTGCTCAGCGGGAAGCCTGCTTCTCCCTCTCCCACTCCCCCTGCTTGTGTTCCCTCTCTAGCTGTCTCTCTCTCTCTCTGTCAAATAAATAAAATAAAATCTTTAAAAAATAAATAAATAAAAAATAGTCACGGAGATTGCAAAGATTTAGCAACAAGAATATTCATTCCAGTATTGGTCACAGAAGCTCACAGTTGTAAACAGTAAGTGTTCAAAAACACAGCATTATTTCAATCTATCATGGAACACTTACTTACATCGTGGAAGCCTATCAAGTTTTAAACAAAATAATGAAGAATAGTTAATTACATCATAAGATGAAAGAAATATGCTCCAGAACAATATTTACCAAATCATCCTGTTTCAGCCAAAAAAATTACGCACACAGTACACATATACAAATACTTTCATTTCTATGTACATGGAGATAGCACCAGACCACAAAGAAACACATCCAAATATCAATGATGATTACCTCTGTGTGATAAAATTATGGGTGATTTTATTTTATTTTTGCTTATTTGTATTATCTTCATTTCTAAAGGGAACCATTTGAAATTAATGCAGATGTAGTGAGGTGCGTGAAAATGAGGGTCAGCATGGCTGGGGATGGGAGTGGCAAGGAGATAAAGTTGGAGATGTAGGTAGAAGCCAGAAGAGTCTTGAATGCTAAGCTAAGAAATAAGACATTTTCTCCACGTGTGGGGCATTCTATTGAAGTTAGGTAAAATGGAACTAATGCTGTATAAAATATTAACAGTCTCACTTTACGTTCCAGATGGAAGGTAACTTAAATCCTCCCCACCCCCCATTAAAAACCTTCCTCCAGAATCACACACTATCCCTGCGGGCGGGCAGAGTAGTCGGGAACTCGGTTTGCTCTGTGGCCGCACATCAGCCCCACCTTAGCCACTGCCATCCTTCGTAAATGCCTGGCGAACCACAGCTGTTTACGTGCGTGGGAACCCCTAGGAGACACCCGATGGCTTCTCCTCTCTTATTTGAACATTTGCTGCCATTATAATTTAAAATCTTCTTTATATCCTACCTATAATCCCATAACAAGGTCACCCAAGAGTTCATTAAGCGGTAGAGCTGTAAAACACTCAGGCAAGTCGGGGACTTTGGAACAGAACTTAGATGTGCTAAATCTCCATCGAGAAGGCCAAACAACCACCATGATGCTCTGTGGTGTTAATTTAAGAGAGAGCACTTCAAAATATTAGAGAAAATACAGGGAAAATAAAAAGCCATCTTAAAGCAAATATACATTACAACGTTTGCAGATTTATGCACTCCAAGATTGCATTCCCCCCCTCCCCCGCATACACTTTATATTCAGTCCTGTGGGGAAAGCAGGATTGAATTATGGAAGTTTTGAATTATAGGAGGTCTCCAGGAATACATTCTTCGCATAAAATGTACAGTGGGGATGGGGTGGGGTGAGGGCGGTGGTGGCGGAATGGAAGGCAGACAAGATACTGAAAAGAGGGCAAGAGGGTTTTTGAAACCTACTCAGGCTTCTGCTCAGCAAGGGGGAGGAATTGGAGGGAAGGTGAAGATGGGGCCTGGGAAAAAAATGGAAATGGGCAAGAAGGAATTAAGAGTGGCTAATTCAAGGCACTGGGGGAATTGATTTACATAGATCATGTCACTTAACTTTTACTACCTGCAAGACCTTATTTCTTCCTGACAAGAGAATATAAAAACAAAAACAGTGGAGACCGCAAAGAGGCCTGCATGGAATGTCTCCTTTATTTCTTCATCCATTTGTTTTTCATTCTTTGGATTTTTCTAAAATGAGAATTTTCATTATAAAAGCAACGCATGCTCTTTAAGAAAAAAAAAGTCATTCAAATAATGAGGAGGTAATTAAAATAGAAAGTGGAAATCCACCATCCAACAACTTCCCTGCTTCCCCACCATTGAATTCTGCTCCTTAGAGAGAACCACTGTTAACCATTTAGTTATGACCTTCTAGATACTTCTTTTTATTACTAAACTTTATTTTTCAGAGGAGTTTTTGTTTCCCAGCAAAATCAAGCAGAAAGTACAGAGAGTTCCCCTACAGCCCCTGTCCCCGCACATGTACAATTTCCCTCACCATAGACATTCTGAAGCACGGTGGGTCATTGTCATAATCGATGAACCTACATTGCCACATCATTATCACCTATAGTCTGCAGATTACATTAGGGTTCGCTCTTGGTGTTGTACCTTCTGTGGGTTTGGACAAATATCTAATGACATGTCTCCACCAGTCTGTATCATGCAGGATAGATTCACTGCTCTAAAAAATCCTCTGTGCTCTGCCTACTCATTCCTCCAGCTCCTGGCAACCACTGATCTTTTTACCGTCTCTTTAGTTTTGCTTTTCCAGAATGTCATATAGTTGGAATCACACAGTGTACAGCCTTTTCAAGATTGTCTTCTCTCACTTAGTAACATGCATTTAGGGTTCCCCATGTCTTTTCATGGCTTGATAGCTCATTTCTTTTCAGCACAGAATAATATTCCATTGTCCAGATGTACCATAGTTTATTTATCCATTCACCTACTCAAGGACATCTTGGTTGCTTCCAAGTTTTGACAATTAGGAATAAAGCTGGGGAGACTTCTGGTTTCTGGTTCCACATATAAGGAGGTTGGAAGTTGCCAGTCCAACCTAACAACAAGTAAAAAGCCGAATAGGCTAAAATATCAACAACTCCTCTTGGATGCGTAAGAGAGAGGAGGACCCCAGGCAAACCCTGATAACTGGAGAGTCAGACAAGCGAATACAGCTCACCAGAGCAGAGATTCACCAGGGAGTGGGAACCTCAGCGGGAACCAGAAAACCCGAGTTGTAATTGCCAACTGTTGGAAGCACCGGAGTTAAAATACTCCAGGGGTACTCAGTCATGAGGAGGCCTCCGCAATACTGTGCGTTTTACCTCCAAGAGCCTGACCAAATTCCATAGAAAGTATGGGGTGGAAAAAAGTCACCTCATCCTTCCTGCAGAGGAAAGGTAAAAGGAATGATTTTGAAATAATGCCAGAGTATCTTGTTCTTCTTAACCATACCTGCCCTCAGGAGAAACTGGCTAACCTAATCTGCTGGGGTATTATCAGAGCCTAAGGGATATGCCCTAATCCTGAGGAAGTGAAGTGCCCTGATCCAGCCCACTCTGGCCATCCTGACGCACCTAAGCGGGGGGCGGGGCGGGGTGGCGAGAAAAAAACGGAGAAATACTCGTGATGTTCACTGCCTAGAGGCACGGGCTCACTAAAAGACCGAGACCTAATATATCTCTATGTATCTCTATGTATATGTATATGTATCTCTATGTTTAAAGTGTGTTTCTTATAGAAAATACACACTTGGGTTTTGCTTTTTCATCTGCATTAACAATGTCTGTCTTTTAATTGGTGCATTTAAACCACTGACATTTTCAGTGATTATTTATAACGTTGGACTACTATCCACCATGTTGTTACTGTTTTCTATTTTTTGCCCTTTTCCTTTGCTCTTATTTTTGTTTTCGTGGTTTTTATTGAGCATTTTATGATTCCATTTATCTCTCTTCTTAGCATATTAATTTAGAAATTAATTTATTAATTTTTAAAACTTTATGAAAAAGTTTTTTTTAGGGGGATTCCCTGTATCTTGGCGGGTGGACGCGGTTTCTTCCTAGTCCGCCTCCGGCAGCGGTACACACTGTTCTCCGGCCCTTTGCACTGCAGGCCCTTTGCACCACAGGCCCTTTGCACCGCAGGCCCCCAGCTCCCGGGCCACTCTTCCCACCCGCTAGCCTCCACCGGCAACAGACCCATGGCGGAGCGTGGGGAACTCGATCTGACCGGCACCAAACAGAATACCGGAGTGTGGCTGGTCAAGGTTCCTAAATATTTGTCACAGCAAACGGCTAAAGCCCCTGGAAGAGGTGAAGTTGGGAAACTGCGGATTGCCAAGAATCAAGGAAGGATTGAGGTGTCATTTACTTTGAATGAGGATCTTGCAAATATTCACGATATTGGTGGAAAACCAGCTTCATTCAGCACTCCTAGAGAACATCCGTTTGTCTTACAAAGTGTTGGAGGACAGACATTAACAGTCTTTACTGAGAACTCATCAGATAAACTTTCATTGGAAGGAATAGTGGTACAAAGAGCTGAATGCCGACCTGCTGCCAGTGAAAACTACATGAGATTAAAGAGATTGCAAATGGAAGAATCTTCCAAACCTGTAAGGGTATCACACCAACTGGACAAAGGTGTGACAACCAATTATAAACCTGTTGCTAATCATCAGGACACTATTGAATATGAAAGGAAAAAGAAAGAAGATGGAAAACGAGCTCGAGCTGATAAACACGTTTTAGACATGCTATTTTCAGCATTTGAGAAACATCAATATTATAATCTTAAGGACTTGGTGGACATCACAAAAGAGCCTATGGGGTACCTAAAGGAAATCTTGAAGAAATTGGCGTTCAGAATGTAAAAGGGACCCACAAAAACACATAGGAGCTGAAGCCAGAGTATAGACATTATCAAGGAGAAGAAAAGAGTGATTAAGAGGACCTTAGCCAGCAAGCTAACAGAACAACTAAAGGGTGATGAGCTGAGGAAGCACCACTGATACTCAAATACTTGAGTACCATCTGTTGTAGGGGTAAAATGACTGGAACTTTAATTTCCCTAGGTAAATTTTTTAAACAATAATTCTTGTAAAGTTACAAGAATTTTTTTTGAGGAAAAAAATTTACAGGCTTGTATTAAACTAGATTATTCAGAATGGGGTGAGAAGTTGGGGGGGGTTAAGAAGGTTTTTCTTTTTATTGACTTTTAAATGTAAAACTAGGATATGTTTTCTAAATGAGGACTCTCTGTCCTTGTTTTATCTCAGAGGATCTGAGGTGATACAAATCCAAAGTGAATGACAAAGCAAGAAAAAAGTAGTCAACTACAGAAAGTCTTAAAAGGAATAAAAAGCAGGGCGCCTGGGTGGCTCAGTTGGTTGGGCGGCTGCCTTCGGCTCAGGTCATGATCCTGGAGTCCCTGGATCGAGTCCCACATCGGGCTCCCTGCTCGGCGGGGAGTCTGCTTCTCCCTCTGACCCTCCCCCCTCTCATGTGCTCTCTCTCATTCTCTCTCTCAAATAAATAAATAAAATCTTAAAAAAAAAAAAAGGAATAAAAAGCCAAAGTTCCTTATTCTGAAAAAAAAAAAAAAAAGTTTTTTTAGTGGTTGCCCTAGAGACTGCAATACACATGTACAACTAAGCCAAGTCCACTTTCAAATAATATTATACCACTTCACAAGTAGTGTAAGTACCTTGTAATACAATAATGTGAATTCCTCCATTGTCCCTTATATCATTTGTGTCATTCATCTTACTTATAAACATACATAAGCACATTCATATACATTACATATATGTAAGCTTATTGTTGCTATTATTTGGATTAAATTATCTGTTGATCAATTAAGAATATGAAAAATAGAAGACTTATTATACCTTTACTGATTTATTCTCCAATGCTTGTCCTTTCTTTCTGTAGACCCAAGTTTCTGACCTATGTTATTTTCCTTTTGTCTGAAGAACTTTTAACATTTTTTGCAAGCACGTCTACGTGCAACAAATTCTCCCAATTTTTGTCTGTCTGAGAAAGTCTTTATTTCTCCCTCACTTTTCAAGGATCATTTTTTAGGGTACAGAATTCTAGGTTGGTGGATTTTTTTCTCTTAACATTTAAAATATTTCACTCAACTCCCCCGTGGCTTCTGGGGAGAAGTTGGATATAACTCTTATCTTTGCTTCTCTTTAGGTAAGGTATTTTTTTCCTCTGACATCTTTCAAGATTTTTCCTTTATCTTTTGAATATGGTAGGTGTAGGTGTAGCTTTTAAAAGTAGTTTATCTGGGGGTGCCTGGGTGGCTCAGTCGTTGAGCGTCTGCCTTTGGCTCAGGTCATGATCCCAGGGTCCTGGGATCGAGCCCCACATCGGGCTCCCTGCTCAGTGGGAAGCCTGCTTCTCCCTCTCCCACTCCCCCTGCTTGTGTTCCCTCTCTCGCTGTGTCTCTCTCTGTCAAATAAATAAATAAAATCTTAAAAAAAAAAAAAAAGTAGTTTATCTGTTCGTTTTTGTTTGTGTTCAGTCATTTATCCTTCTCGGTTCTCTGAGCTTCCTGAATCTGTGGTTTGGTGTCTGATGTTAATCTGGGGGGAAATTCTCAGTCATTATTGCTTCAAATGTTACTTCTTTTCCTTTCTCTCTTTCTTTTCCACCTAGTATTCCGGCTACACATATGTCATATCTTTTCTTGTTATCCCACAGCTCTTGGATATTGTGTCTTGGGGTCTTTTCCCTCAGTGTTTTCTCTCTTTGCTTTTCAGTTTTGGGAGTTTCTGTTGTCATATCAAGTTCTGTTGTTATATTAAGTCATATCAAATTCCTTAGCTGTGTCCAGTCTATTAATGAGCCTTCAAGGTCATTCTTCATTTCTGTTACAGTGTTTATTGCTACCATACCTTTTCCATTCTTTCTTAGAATTTCCATAACTCTGCTTACATTATCTCCTGGTCTTGCGTATTGTCTACTCTCCCCCAGTAAAGCCCTTGGTATATTAATCATACATTGAAAAAAAATTCCTGTTATGATAATTCCAAGTTTCTGCCCTATCAGACTCTGGTTGGATGATTGTCCAGTCTCTTCAAACTGGGCTTTTTGACTTTTAGTATGCCTAGTAATTTTTTGTGTAGAGGTGGACATGACGTCCTGGTTCAAAGGAACTGTGCTAAGTAGGCCTGTATTAATGTAGTGGTAAGGTTGGGGCGGGGGAGGGAAGCATTCAGTCTTTTGGTGAGATTGTGTCCTGAATTGTAAATGTTACCAGAGCTTCTCGTTCTCCCATTTCCTCTCAGGTGGGACAAGACTGGCAGAGGGGATGGATTTGGGTATTTCCCCTCCTTCCCCAGGTAGGTGAGGCTCTGTTAAGATAGTTCTGCTTTGGTAAGTTGCAATTCTCTACATTCTCATGTCTGTCTCTCCAGCTTTTGGGGCAGTTGTTTGCCCTGTGACCTCCGTTGTTCAATGGATCTAAGAAGAGTTGTTGATTTTTCAGTTTTTCAGCTTTTTACTTGTTGTTAGGATCGAGTGGCAACTTCTAGTCTTCCAAGTTGCAGCTTGAGAAACCAGACATTTCTACCTTATCCTTTTTAAAATAACTTCGCAGAATCTCACTTATGGTTGTACCATACTTTAACCAGTCATCTGTTATCATGGACACTTGTCACTTTTTTTGGCTACCCAGCTTCCTTGGCACCTTGGTTTCCTTGTATTTAGTCTTGGTGGGACTTAAATCTTGTGTCTGCCTCTCACTAAGAAATCAAAGGACCAGTCTTTCCTCTCCTTGCCCTAGATACAGACAGAGAGTTCACCCAATCAGATAGATGCTTTCTGCTGGGACTTTGACCCAAGGTGATCCTTCATTCAGGCAAGCATGTCCTGATTAAACCATTCCTGCTATTGGTTATGGCTGTGATTCTTGCTCCCATGGGCCTCAGAATCACCTGGATTTTTCAAGCAGGCACTTCAGGCCCCTGTTGATCTTTAAGTCTCTGAGAGCCTCTAATAAGTTGGCCAGACCTGATTTCTGTTCTTTCTACCCAAAAACCCTAACCTGTGCTCCCACCTTTTCATGTCATGCCCCCCACAAAAATTTATATGAAAAATATACTTTTCTGTCTCACTTGGATAAACCTAGACCCCTGCTAGCTGTCCTGTGAGCTGAAGTAACCAGTCTCAACACCCCTGCACCCATTCTCAGCTCACCAATGGACAAGGCCCACTGGGTGGCAGCTCTGCCCTCACTTACATACCTATTGATGTATGCACTACAATTTTGCACTACAATAAACTATATTATAATAGGTGTCCTACAGTGTTCTTTCAGTTCTCAATTGACTTAGTGCATTTGAAATATCCCCCCAATTTAAGCCACAGTGGATTTTCAGAAATGCACTTATTATAAACTGAAATGGTATCTGTACTTTCTCCTTGGCTCACAAAGAATATTCCTACTAGCTGTAGGCTGGTGACCTGTATCCTACTGGGTGATGGCAAATGTTTTGCTATCCTCTGTGAAAAAGGATGGACCACGTCACACAGAAGACTCAGGTTGCTCTGTCTTAACAGTCAAAATTCTGCTTTTTGTCTGGCTGTTACAGGTATCTCTCAGATCGTCACAGACTCCCGTGTCCTGTCCCGGTTGTGAGGCCTTTGTGGAACTGTGGCAAAGAAGTAAGGGCCACAACAACATTTATCAAGGACTCACTATTTGTGGCATGGTCTGCTCTGGGTGCTGTCCCCGTCACATCAGCCTTCTGAGGAAGATCGAGGTATCAGCCCTCATTTACATATGAAAAACAGAACTAGGAGAAATGAAATAACTTTCCCAGGTTTACCTGGATAGGAAGTAGTTGAGCTAGGAGTTGAACCTAGAACTGTCTTGTTCTACAGCCCTCAGGAACAAGTGGTATAAAACAGATAGCTTTAGTTTAGCATTTTAGGATCTGTTTTACCCATTTTTATCTCTCAGACATCCAGTGTGGGTATCTGTTTTGGTTTTTCAATGAAGACATAGCGGTTGTTATAAAGATAGAACAATGTCATTATTTAAAAAAAACCGAAAACAAAAAATCACAGGCAAGTACTAACAGGAAAGAAAAGGAAGAAAAATATGTCACAGTAATCCCATTGTTCCAAGATAACCATCTTTAACATTTTGATGAAATTCTTGTTTGTATTTATACTAGAAATATAATTATTTATTTTATAGAGCTAGGACATACTGTAGATACATTTTTATATCTTCTATTATGCAAATTTTATTGTAAACTTTTATTTTATTATAAAATTTTTACTGTATTTTTAAACAATGTTCAAAGCTTGAGCTTTAATGACTACATATGAGCCCACAGACTTGGGTGTTCTCTCATTTATTTAGCACTTCCCTTTTGTTGGCATTTAGGTCAATATGGATTCTTTGCAGAAATAACTATTGCTATGATTAACATCTTTTGTGTTTTCAATCCTGGTTTTCTGAAACTCTAGTCAACTCAGAAAATCCAGAACACCTGTGCTCATGCCAGTCCATGCAGATGACAAATTCTGGAGCTGGGTACACGTAGCCTATCGGGCTCATTCCCCTCCCTCTCTAATGAAAATAGAAGCTACGAGAAAATGAATAGGGAGGCAGATCAAACAGATGTTCACACTTAAACCCTAGGCACGGCATTCAATGCCTTCTCATTACCACCCTTCTGCAGCTGAACTGGGTACATTAAAGGTGGGTCCAGGGATCATATATGAATTCAAAGAAATGCATCAATTATGGATACAGTTCACAATCAATGGTTATCACATTTTAAAATTTCCTTTTACTGCTTTGCTCCATTTTAAAACTTAGAACTTTCTTCATCATCATCTTCTTCATCATCATCATCTTCTTCATCATCATCTTCATCTTCATCATCATCATCATCTTCCCATAATGTACTCTCATGTGACTAATCTGACATGCCCTATTCTTAAAGTGACATTTGAATTGTGTTTTGGAATAATTTGTGATGTATCAGTTCAAGTTTCCAAGAAATGTGGCAGAAAAATTTTTTAAATTATTATTATTTTATAGTCTTGAGAACTCAACAGCCCAAAGTCTGTTTTTTTGTGATTGAAAACT